CGCCCCGCCCCGGCGCCGCCCCGGCCCCGCCCGCGGACAGCCCAGCACCGGCTTGCACACCCCCGGAGACCGGGAGCTCACTATTTACCACAGGGCAACTCCTTCTCTCCGATTCCCTTGGGCCCCGGCTCTGCCCTGGGGGCCCCTCGCCCTGCTCGCCGGCATGGGCACGGAACCAGAAAGTTGCAGGTTCTGGTTCCATGACCATGCTCTGCTTCTTCTCCTGCTGTGTAGCCTCGGCCAAGTTACTCTCCCTCTCTGAGCCTCAGCTGTCTCATGTGCGGGCATTCAAGAAACAGGAGCTGGTCAAGGCAACCTAAGGATCCCTCATCCGATCCTCTCACTCTCCATGCTGGGCTGCCGCAGAGCCAGCGAGGATCTGGAGAGTGCCCTCAGTCACGCTAGGCCCCCTGCCTGCCATCCCCAACCCTTAGGGAAGTCAGGGTCAGTTTCTTCATTTTATAGCAATGCAGCTGAGGCCCAGAGAAGGGACTTGCCGAGGGTCATACAGCCAATGAATCTGTATGGAGTCAGGACTGACCTCAGATCCCTTAATGCCTTGAGTCCTGTGAAGCTGCCCACAGTCTCCCCCACAGTAAGGTTCAAGCTCAGCAGTAAAGGGCAGGGGGTGGGAGAGGAGGAGGGAACTGTAGGGGGACAAGGAGAGCCTTGTGGCTCTGTAATCGGCCAAGAGTCTGCTGTCTGGGAAAAGGAGTCTCATGTGCTTTGGAGCAAGACAACCCTGGTTCAAATCTCTGCTAGGCTGCTTCCTGGTTGTGTGGCCTTGGGATAACGGCACAACCTCTCTGAGCTATGTTTTTCTCACCGGTAAGATGGGTATAAAAGAAATCTTTATCTTACCTATCAAATTCACACACTCTTTGGGTACCTGTTATGTGTGCCTGGGTCCTAGACCCGTGCTATCCAACAGAACTTTCTGCAATGTTGGAAATGTTCCACATCTGCACTACCCGTGATAGCCACTGACCACATGTGACTTTTGAGCACTTGAAATGTGGCTAGTGTGAATGAGGGACTGAATTCTTAATTTTGTTTACTTTTAATTAATTAAAAAAAATTTTTTTTGTTTTGGCAGCTGGCCAATACAGGGATCTGAACTTTTGACCTCGGTGTTGTAAAGTGCTCTGACTGAGCAAACTGGCCAGCCCTAATTTAAATTTAAGTGGCCATCTATGGGTAGTGGCTATTTATAGTAGTCAGTGCAGTTCTAGACAGTAGGGACTAGACACAAGCAGCCTTGACCCTTGGGGACTTTACATTTTAGTGGAGGAAATGAGCAGTAAGGAAGTAAGTGACAAGATAGAGATTTGTAGCCTTTGAGGCAAGGAGTTAGGCTTTTATGTCAGAGCACTAAGGAGTAACTGGAGGGCATTCAGTAAGGAGGTGATGCGATTGACTTATTTTTTAGAAAGATCCCTCTAACGATCATGCAGTCAAGAATGAGGGGGGTTTGCATTAGGGGAGTGGCGGTAAAGGTAGAGAGAAATAGGCAGACTCTAGATAGTTTATGGAAATAGAATACTGTGGCTTCACTTGAGGATTGAATGTGGAGGTGAGGGAAAGGGAGGAATTACAGGTTTTTAGCTGGAGCAGGTGAGTAGATGGTGGTGCTTTTTATGAGGATTAGGAAGTCAGGGGAAGAAGGAAGCCTTCGGGAAGAAGGAAGACTTGAGAGCTCTGCATTGACCTGTTATCTTGGAGATACCAATAAGATATCTGAGGAGAGATGTCATATGGACAACTGGAGCACTGATTGCATTAGCGGGGAGCACCGGGTCGGAGATAGAGATTGGGGGAAGGTCTTCACACAGAGGTGGTATTTAAAGCAATAAAAGTGTACGAAGATGGACAATATGAAGTGTTATTGATGTCGAACAATACATGGAACAAACAGAACTCTTACATGATGTTGGCGGAAGCTTTAAATGCTACAACTATGTTGGAAAACTACTTGGTCATACTTGCAGAGGCTAAGCGTGTGTCCACCTGGACCTACTCAGACAAGCAATTTCAATCTCAGGTATACATACAAGATACACGAATGTATATGTGTTCACCAAAAGAAAGTTCAGAGCAGCTTATTCAGAATAGCCAAAAGTTGGAAACAACTCAACTATTCACCAACAGGTGAATGAACTGTGTGTGTTCATAAAATGGAAACTGCATAGCAATGAACACTAATGAACTACTGCCACGCGTAACACATGAATGAATCTCAGAGACATTATACTGAGCAATATAAACCAGACGCAGGAGTGCATACTTCATGGTTCCATTTGTGTTGACTTCAGAAACAGGCAAAACTAGTCGGAGGTGATAGAAGTCAGAATAGTGGTTACCACTGAGGATATAGACTAGGAAGGGGCACAAGGTAGCCGTCTTGAGGGTGCTGGAAAAGTTCTCTATCTTGATTGGGGTGATGGTTATGTGTGTGTGTGTGTGTGTGTGTGTGTGTATATATGAAAATTAATCAAGCCATACTTTGCTATATGTAACTTGTGCCTCAGTAAAAAGGAGGGAAATGAAATAAATATGCAGATCCAATCTGTGACTGTTCCTCTATTTTCCCTTGTTTTTCATGACCTTGACACTTGAAGGAAACTGGCCAGTTACTTTACAAAATGTTCCTCGGTTTGGGTTGCCTAAAGTATCTCATGATTAGATTAAGGTTATACATTTTTTCAGCAAGAATACAACAGAAGTAGTGTGATGCTTTTTTTCAGCGCATCTTAAGGTCTTCACGATATCAATGAGTTTTGTTACAGGTGACGTTAACCTTGATCACTCAGCCGAACTGTGTCTTGTTTAAGTTGGGTTTTTCCACTATAAAGATACTATGTTTCTCTTTGTAATTAATAATTTTGTAATGTTTATAAATTTTCATTTAAATTGTTATAAATTTGGCAAATGGTACTTAATAAATGTCTTAGGAGAAATTCTTTGGGACTGTGTAAATACTTGTTTCTCCTCAAACTTTTGCCTGCTAATTTTAGCATCTATTTGTGGATCTTTCTTTTATTAATATTTCTGCATAATGGTGGTTTTCTGTTTCCCTCTTTCCTTCTACATTTATTAGTTGAAATCTTCTGAAAGAATGAGATGTCACTTCTCCCCATTTATTTATTTTTTTCAGTTAGTTATTTATATCTGTGGTCTTCTTTCTTTGACACTTCTTTCTTTGACACTGATAATCTTGCTCTCATTATCTACAATGCATTTACTTATTTGCTCAATTCTAGTATACACATACAGTACTTTCAGGATTGCTAACCCCTACCCCAGTAAGAAACACATTTAATAACTCAAGTGGCCTTACAGAGTCCAGTTCAAGAACTGTATTCACAGTGACTTAAGTTAGGTCTTTTTTCTCTGTCACCTTCAGTGTGGTCTGTTATCATTTGTTTTGCAGTCCATTTGTAAGGTTTTGTATTCCATTCTGGGTTCCTCCAACGTTCTGGATGGTCTCAATTGCTTATTTATTTGGGGAGGTACATGAAAAATTACAATTGCTCTGAGTCAAAGCTGACAGAAATGTATACTCAGACAAATGTTACTTCCTTCTCCCCTGATTCCCATTCCTTCCTTCTTGTCACCCCTTTCCTACCCACCCCCTGTAGCTAACCAACCTCTTTAACTTCTGGTGTACACTTCCTAGATTTCTTTTGCACAAATGAGCAGATACATGTGGATTTTCCTATATCCCTTTCTTTCTTACATGATGGGTAGCTCACCCCAGGTACTTTTTTGCACTTTGCTTTCTTCGCCTTAACTGTGTGTATGGAAACCACTCTGCATCAGCTCATAGAGATCTCATTCACATTTACAGCTATGTGCTACTCCATTGTGTGGAGATACCATAGTTTACCCGCTCTCCTATGTATGGATATTTAAGTTGTTTCCAACATTTTGTAGTTATAAACAATGTTGCAATGAATAGCCTTATAAATATGTATTCTCATATTTTTGAAGATTTATCTTCAGGGTAGATTCCTAGGAGTGGGGTTACTGAGTCAAGAGGTGGTGCGAAGGTGTTTCTCTTAGGTATTGTTAAATTCTCCTCCATAAGGGTTGTTCTGGTTTGCATTTCCAGTGGCAATGTAGGAAAGTGTTTCCCCACAGACTCGTCAACAAGATGTGTTGTCATACATTTAATATTTGCCAATCTTATAGGTGACAAGTATTGTTTTAATTCACATTTCTCTAATTATGAGTGAGCTTGAATATTTTTAAAATATATGGGGCTATATTCACATGTTTTTGTGAATTATATATTCATATTTTCCCCCATTTATCTATCCAGTTTTTAGTTCTTTATCCGTAATTTTAAAAATTTTTGGTGGCTGGCCAGTAGGGGGATCTGAACCCTTCACCTCGGTGTTACACTCTGACAGCCTCAAATTTTTTAAAATAAACTTTTTCTTTTAGAATGGTTTTGGATTTATGGTAAAATTGTGAACACGGTACCAAGAGTTCCCCTATCCCCACATCCAGTTCCCCCCAATGTTAACATTTTACATTGACATGGTATATTTGTCATAATTTATGAACCAATACTGAAAACATTATTAACTAAAGACCA